TTATGTGAAAGTTCATTCCAAAAATAATTTTCCACCTATTTCCAAACTTACTTCTCTAGGTCACCACCCATATCTGCCTGTTTGCTGTGTACTGTCTCCGTGTGTCGTGGTTCAGTCCTACAGAGAAGGTTCAATGAAGCCAAGATTGTGCCAGCTGGGGTGTAGACCGTGCACTGGGAAGTGTACACACAGGCAGCGCAGCTCACAGACTCCTTCTCTCTGTCTTGGGAAACTCCCAAATAAGCCACTTTGCCTTTTAGATCCAGAGTGAGGGCTGGGGAGGGGAGATGAGGGTCCTTGGTTTACATCTTCCCCTGGACTCAGCCATGGGTCTTTTCATTCAACAGCCAGTGTGCTGAGGCTGCTGGTGCCAAGTAGCGGGCCAGCACACGGGGTAGAGAAGGAGAAGAGGTCAGTGGATCACTCTACGGTGACACAAGACAACAGCTAGAGTCCAGAGCTGCCAGACATCAACCCAAGGCAATACACCATGCTCTGTTTTTGTTATAAAGGTGTGAGCAGTAATAAATTGTGTGTATACGTCATGAAGCAGCCGCAGGAGTGGGGTGGAAGCCCCTGCACCCCTGTTTCCAGGTGTGTCATAGATCACACAACAGGGGCTGTGCAGGTGTGCACTCCAAAAAAGCCAACACAGATGCTGAACGCTTGGCCACCACCATTAGAATCTGGGGAGATGGCAAATAAAAGTCTACATTTCCAGTGTCTTGTCTCACTGGTCTCCCATGAAAAAGGAGCAGAGGCCTTTTTCAGATGAGGTTTCCTCTCCCTCTGGGTTTATGCGATCCTCTGTCCTGCCGTCCTCACTCCCTCACTTGTTTACTGCCTGGTACCCACCAAACTTTAAACGGCCCCTCCCCCTCAGAAAATACAGTAGTTCTCGCCCCAACCCACCCAGCCATTACCTCCCCTTATCTGATGTGCTGTAGGCAGCCTGTCCGGTTTACTGGACAAGGGTTGAATTGAGGCCCGCCCTTGTTTGTGGGACTGGGATAGGGAGTGGTGGAGCCAGGTTCTTGCTGGGAACCAAGCAACTTGGACCTGCTGAGGCGTACTAAGTTGTTCTTGGTTTTGTTTCCTTTTTGTTTTGTGGCCCTGGGTTCAATTCTTAAAGCAGGGGAAAGGACTGGATCCACATCTAGGACACAGTTTTGTATAAGATTGTACCGGATTATTATCAAGGGTCCTGGCAGCCTCTTAGGCTGAACTCCAATGTTTTTCTTGCCAGCTGTGCAAAGAAATGTGTGCAGAGACAGCCAGAGAGCTCAGGCTTGCCCTTCTCGGCTTCCCTGTTATGGAAAGGCGAGCACGTGGGAGTGAGTGCACAGGCCATAGGAATGGAGGTCAGCAGAACTGCTATTGGAGAGACTCATTCCCCACCCATTTTGTGTGTGAATGAGCACGTAGCCCAGTTCAGTGTTAATCCACAAACAGACTGTGGAGCCAAGGAGGTCAGGTGCCTAGCAAAGGCACTGTACTTTTCCACAGGAAAGACAGAGGTCAGCCATGAGACCCTTCAGCTAACAACTGTTCCCTTGGCAGGTACTTGTAGAACACCTACTATGGACCAGGGCTTTTGGATTATGAAGATTTTAAAACAAACGTTTGGGATTCATCTTTCCAGAGGAGAGACCAGACCACAGACTGCTTTGAGGTTGTTAGACGTAGTCACTCTTGAAGGTACTAGTTGATACTTTTATTTTATTCACTTCAGTGCTGGAGATGGACCTTACAGCGCAGGACCTTACAGATGTTCAGCGTGCTTTTTACCACTGAACCGGCACTATTTATAATGCTTATAACCCATGATCAGTATGCCAGCATCCTTCATCTAAAGACCGACTCAGAGCCCTTGAAGAGACGAGGTCCCCATCTATCCACAACAACACTTTCCATTTGTTGAGTACTTCAGTGTGCTGGGATTTAGTGTAAGTGGTTTATAGACCTCATTGTATCTTCATAACATTGTGAAGCGGGTTCCATTCTCAACCCCACTTTATACCTGTGGATACTGAGGCTTGCTTGGCAACTTGCACAGCCAGGTTGTGCAGCCAGCAGGTAGGTGGCAGAGTAGAGATTAGACCTGCCCAGGCCACCTGGCACCAGACGCTGAGCTCCTGGCCCCCTTGAGGGTTGCCTTGACATGCTTGGAAGTTGAAATCTTAGCCAGCAGGAGTCAGGCCCAAGCAAGAAGACATTGCTACTGACTCCATTTTCCAGTCCAAATGACCTTTCAGTGCAACTAATTGAAAAGAATGATAATAATGGTGTTAATTTGCCCTCCAGTGATTGCCAGGATAATGAGGATAATTTAGAATCAAAAGCCGAGGAAAAAAACAGAGGTCATTTAAACCACCCTCCTAATTTCCAAGACAGGAAAAACTGAGGGCCTTGTAGGAACTCCCACAGCTTAGCTGGGGGACTAGAAACCATGCGTTCTCCCTCCTCTGTTGCACTGTTCCTGGTGTAGCCAGGGACGCAGTGCTGTCCAAGAGGGCAGGACACTTGAGTCCTCGCTATCTTTCCTTAGCAAAGGCTGCTGTGGAAGCCGACGCCAGCCCTACAGAAGTGGTTCTTCCTCCTGGGGCTTGTTTGTTGCAGTGTGAAGGATTCCCCCACCCGAAACTCCTTATCAGAAGCCAGGATGGGCTCTTAATCTGCAGCTGCCAGGGCCTCAGCTACACTCTGGCGAGGAACATTATCGTCCCCGGTCAGCTGACTGAGCACAGGTCTCCAGGCTGGCCCTGCGTACCATGGGGAACCTGTAAACAGGAGGAAGCAAACAGCACTCTGTGCCTGAATGCAGAAAGGTCCTCTCTGCTCCCCCTGATGCTGGCCAGGTATAAGATAAACAGCACCTTGCTTGATCCCAGAACCCCTTCATGCACATTGAGAAACTATTAGTCTACCAAGGGCCCAGATCAACCCCAAGACAAATCTGCCATTCTGTAATGTCCCTGGCTTGAAGACTCAGGATAGTGAGGTGTCTCTCTGCCTTCCCTGAGTTGCAGGTGCCTAGTATACAATGAAATGTCCTTTGTGAATGAGGCCTGGCAGGAAACAGGCAGCTAACAGATGCTAGTTTTTTTGTTTTGTTTTGTTTTGTTTTTGTAGCAGGAATGGAACTCAGAACCTCACACTTGCCGGGTAGGTGATGTGCCACTGAACTATATCCCTAGTCCAAGATGCTCGCTTTGACCTGAACTCTCAAAGAGCATAGCATACTAAAATGGGTAAAAATTCCTAGACCCCTGTCCTTAAATCCAAAAAAGCAGATCCTTTTACATGAGTGCCTAGACTATTTGAATTAGAAACTAGAAATGAAAATGGGACTATTCCTTGTAAATAACAATCCCTTGATATAAGTAGGTCCCAATATCCAACTCTATTTATGACATAAATCCCATGACCTCCCCCATCCCTGGCTCTGGCTTCCCCTACCCTCCCCGCCTAGCACAAACACACCTCCTTGGTCTACTTCTGACCTAGCACACTTAGAACATATGTCATGTTTGCTTTTGAAGGCTATGAAATGAGGAGGGGGATGCCAATGGTCATAAATCAACGTGATTAAAATTTAAATACACTATCCTCCTGCCTCAGCCTCCTATAGTGCTGGGTTTATAGGCATCCATCATTGTTCCTGGCTTCAAGAATGTTTTGCTGGGCATCGTAGTGTATGCCTCTAAGCTCAGCACTCAGGAGACTGAGGCAGGAGGACTGCCCTGAGTTTGAGGCCAGTTTGGGCTACATAGCGAGACCCTGTCTCAAAAATAATAACAAAATTTAAATATAGCCCATCTTTGGCCAAGAAAAAAAATCAACCTAGGTCAAAAAATGTGCATGTGACCTCAGTGAGAACTGTGCACCTCTGTCAAAACCTTCTGGAAAAAATCCAAAGTCGGGGATGAGAGACTGTTCCTATTTCCTTGCATAGATCCTAATCCGTACAGCCAAAGGGAGTTATAAATTGGTAACAAACCTTTGGCTCTCACAGCAGCATGTGGTGTCAGAATAGCTGCTCTGTAGCTAACTCGTGGCACTGGCATTCAACCACACATCTGGCCCCAGCGCACAGACCCCGAAGCCCAACTGCTCTTGTCTAACAATGTGAGACTGGCAAGTAGCACAAGAAAACCTTTCCTACAATTGCAAACAACCCTGCCCCAACCAGAGCAGGCCTCATTAGCCCCAGTCCACCAACGTGTCTGCAACCGACAGGCTGTGTCTTCATTTTCAGTATGTCCAGGGACTAGCACTTACTAAAAATTGTCTCTTGGTAGTCATAGAGAATTGGTTCCAAGTCCACCTGTATATGCCAAGACTTCTGCATGCTAAAGTTCCTTCTATAAGATAGTGCAGTATTTGCATTTAACCTACATGTACTTCCCATGTACTTTCAATCACCTCTAGACTGCTTATTATACCTAATACAATGTAAGCACTGTATAGTTAGGACTTACTGTTTAGAGGAGGACAGGGGAAAAAGCCTGCACATGTGCACTTCAGATACAGCCATGTAGGTGTAACCACACGAACTGCCCAAAGGACATACACTGGCAACTACGGGCTGTGGAATAGCGGGCAGGCCGGCATCACTGCATTCACACGGGGTCAGCGGCACGCTTCCCATGTGGTAAATTTCAAGTTTTGCTTCTTAGGACTTTTCTGGATTTTTTTTTTCTGAATAATTTTAAGCTGTGATTGGTTGAACCTGTGGGCATGTAACTCACGGATCCAGGGGGCCAGCTGTACATGTTTGCTGAATGAATGAGAATGAGTGAGAGGCACCGAGGACAAGGAAGAAGCAGATGCACATGAGGGAGCCCTGGGAAGACGCAGGAACGGTCAGACTAGAAGCCAGTTACTGGTACCATTCTCTCAGGGAGCTCCTAGGGAAGATGGACGCTTACATCTACACCGTACAGGCTGCCCGAGTGCAGCTGAAGAGGAAGACAGTGAAACGTGCAGGAAATTTTACCTTCTCTCCAGCACAGACTTCATCTGCTACATTTTTATTAAAGTAACAAAAAAAGTGTACATTTATCCATAAAGCTGTACAATCTTCCATATAAAAACACTATTATACAATTAGTAACCTTTGTCTTTTCTGTCAGAATAGCTTTACAAACATACTATTATTTATTTTTACTTAATAGAGAGACAGGCCTGCTCAACAGTCCAGCTCTGGTCTGGGGGTTTTGTTGTTTTTAAAGTGAACATCAATGAGAAGAGAAAAAAGATTAAGCATGAAACTTTCAGGCTGCTCCTAAGAAGGCAGGGACCTGTTCGTGGATGGAGAGGCAGGAACACAATCTGCAGTGATTCACAGCTTTGTTTCAACCCACAGGCCACAGAACAGCACCTGGGACTATGGGCCCAGTTAACTTTAAAGCAATAAAGACTGGAAGCAGGGTCGGAGGAGGTAGCAGAAAGCTGGGGGGTGGAAGGGCAGGAGTGGGGAAGGGAGTGTTTGGTAAATAGCACCTTTGAGTCAAAACTGAGTAGTTTGGAAATCTAGGAGGTAAGATTAGCAGTAGGTAGGGGCGGGGTCCTCACTAAGGGGCAACAGTAGGAGGGAAGCCAGGGTGACCAGATGCTCTAGCTCTGTCCTTCTTAAGGTGACTCGGTTTGGGAGACTCCAGGCCCTCATCAATGTCACTGGGAAACCGAAGGAAAGGGTTATCTTCCCAGCATAGTTTTCTATTCTTCCCCAGTCCAGGACAGTAAATATTGCACAAGTCTACAGATAGATTTGGATTTTACTGAACGGGACAGCAAGCTCTCTCACAGGTGCTCTGAGCACCAGGGACAAAAAACAGTGCGAGAGGTTTGGCTTTTAGTGTCAGCCCCACAAGAATACCAGGTAGTCCTGCAGAGCACAGGCACTCTCCCCTTCAGCCCAGGAAGACCTGCAAGGTCACACCTGCACCTCCTGGCTACAGTCTCTGAGGAGGGCAGGAGAGAAGGGTCTCTAAACCCACTGGATCACCAGCAGGTGCTGGGAGCCAGTTCTCCTACAGAGCCTCCAGGGACCCTGGGGGGTCTATTGCACAGTGATTGAGAACTCTTGTCTTAGAAAATTGGGTAGTTCCAAGACCTAACCAGACGGGAGAGAGGGGAAGAGGAGAGAAAGGAGTATTGTGCTTTTGCAAAGAAGGCAGTAATAAAAGACCTGGAGTTCCTTGTAGCTTTTGAGCCACCTCTCAAAGGAATAGTAGCAGCACCAGGACTTTCATGTGGTTCCAAAAAGAAGCATCTTGGCCAAAAAACATCCCCAGTGGATATCTTTGGATCCCAAAATTCCATTGCAAATCATCCCCAAATTATTCACCACACAGACACACAAAGCAGCATGCAGCAGAGTAAAGGTTTTGTGCCCGAGTTCTCTTCCATCCTAACACCAAAGACCTCCCACCCCTGCCTTCACACTCCCTCTGCCCTAAAAGCTTTAGATTCCTGGCTGGGAAGCAACCTCTACAGGCCCCTGAGGGTAGAATTAGAAACTGAAACATGATTTCAAGAAAGGCTGTTCAGGACAGAAGGAATAAGAAGAGGCCTTTTCACTCTGCCCAAGATCTCATCAGAAAAATAGGAGAAGATTAGGCGACAAAGTATTATTTAAGTTCAGGAGTGAATGCCCCAAGAGAGGAGCCAGGCAAGCTTATGTCCTGGCTGGGAGAGAGTCTCAATGCTCCCCCTACCCAGGGCAGATCCTGACCTCTCTTATTCACAGTTGCTAACCTGGCCTGGGATACTGGCCAACCTTTTCCCGGCACCCTGGCTTGGCCTCTCCCTTCCCATAGGCAGACACTGGCTCACAGACTCATGCGCACAACAGTTCTCTCCAAAGGCACCTGGGGAGGCCACTTCTGAGCAGCTCCCTTTAAGGATTTTTTTTTTTCTTAAAAAAAAAAAAAAACTTTTGGTTTTTCTCTTTTCTTAAAAAAAATAATATACATATAAATAGCTCTTCATTTAAAAATACAGTTCCCCAGGTTGAGGTATGCAGTGGCCTGTTGTCACAGCTGATGAGTACAGTAGAATGCCGGGTAGGGGCGTGGGGGTCTAGCTGGAGACAGCCATCACGTAGTTCTTCGAGGGGCTGCTCCTGCCCAGCATGATTTGGTTCTTACAGGTGAGGAGCCCACAGGAGGTGGCCACCGGAGCCTCCTCATACAGGACACAGATGGAGCCATCTTCTCCGATGCGGTAGGACACCTCGTAGGGGTCCACCCACAGGGTCAGCTCACTGGGCAGCAGCCAGTGTAGCTGGGGCTGGCTGAGTCCGATCTGGCTGGCCACCTTGCTGATGATGGGGTCCATCTTGTGGTTGATGCGGATGCAGCGGTAGCCAGAGCCCTTGGATGGCTTTTCAGGAAACCAGTGGTGTCTGTAATGCTCTGTGGAGGCAGGACAATGAGGACATGCCTGGTTAGAGAAGCCAGACCATGGACATGATCACAACCTTGGAGTGAGGGTGAAGGTTCGGAGGGAGAGGAAGGAGCCCCACAATTTTAAGGAAGGTAGTAGTTCCTACCAGACCCTTCTAAAACCCCCTTGCGCCAGGCATGGTGGTGCACACCTGTAATCCCAGCACTTGGGAGGCTGAGGCAGGAGAGGGATTGCTGGAGACCAGCCTGGGCTACAAACTGAGCTCAAGGCCAGCCTGAACTGCATAGCAGATCCTGTCTCAAAAAACAAACAAACAAAAAACCCTCTTGCTACTTAGCAGAAAAAATGTTATGGGAGCTAGAGAGACTCCTCAGCCCCTCCCAGGCCAGAGGGAAAGTGTGTGTGTTGGAAAGGGGACTCAGGACTCTGGGGGTACTCTCCAGTGGCCAAGAGGATTGCTTCTGGCACATCCCCCAGTTTAAGGAGGGAAGGGTGTGTCCCGGTGCTGGCATATCCAGGCAGAGCCTCTGGAGATCCGTGAACTGAAGTTTCAAAGCCACAAAGGCTACCAACACCATTGGGTCCATAGCAAGTCACCAGGCCACCACCCTGTCCCCAGTGGGGCCCCTGCCTCATTTCGGAAGAGCCTAAGAGTCTTAGCAGAGGCCAAGGGACAAGAAATGGATTGTTTTGATGAAACAGCTGTTGCTCCTCCCAAGGCTGGATCTGTGCCTGGGCGTTCAGAGATGGCTATCGATGCCCCAGACGGCAGGACAGCCGCTAGGAACAGCTGGGAGATAGGTCTCTCCCCAGCTAGCCTGCCGCTTATCTCTGGTCAAGCTCCCAGTCGCACGCCCCACCTCCCTCACACACACACAAGCTTACAATTACTAGCTACAGGCTCTCTTCTGTACAATAGATGGCAGATGGCTAACAGGGACCGAAGAGAACAAATACACAGCGGGCCTACATTCCAGCTTGGAGCAGGGTGGACAACCGGCCAGGAGAACCACGGCTGCCTCCAAGGTGCTGAGAAGGCTCAGCTGCGCATATGGATCCCTGACGGCTTGGAAGCCTACAGCATCCCGAGAGGGTCTCGAGATTTCAAGGGTCCGAACTTGAGCCTGCACTCAGACCTGCAGGCAAACCCTCTTCCGGGGTCTAAACTGGGGGCTCGGGAACGCACACAGAGTTGGATCTGCGCCTCTTGGAGAACAGAGGGACGCGCTCAACAGAACTACTTCGTACGGAGTCCCGACCCCACACCCGGGAACGGTTAGCTGGCCCTGGGGATGGGAAACTGCGGGCTTTCCCGGGAGTCGGAGGAGGGCAACTGAGTCCTGGAACACCTCGCGTGGGAGACCCAGGAGGACAGAAGACACCCGAGGCAAGGAGGGTGCGAGTCCGCGGCGCCAGGCCCGGCGCGCGCTCACCTGTTAGTGCCTCCTGGAGAGCCCCGCTGAAAACCTTAAGTCGCTGCTCACTCACGCAGCCCCGGGTCCTCAGGAGACTGGAGAGAAAGCCCACGGCGGCGGCGATCTCCGGGAGCATGTCGCTTCTCTTCCCGTGGCTCATGTCGCTCGCGGTTCGGGATGGGGAGCAGTCCGCCGTGGGCTATTTCTGGTTCCTCAGGGAGGATCGGCTGACCGCCTCACCGGGATCTGCCCGGGCTTTCCCCGGCGCTGCCTTTCATAGTGTCCGCGGGGGCGGGGAAGCCGCCGACAGCGTCCATTGGCCACGGCCAGCGGATGGGGGCGGGGACACTGCTGCCGGCCCCGCCCCCCCATGGCCGCCCCCGCCCCCGCCCCCTCGGCGCTGAGGTCATAGCTCGCTGACGTCAGTGCTGGGAACCGGCGTTGCGCTCTGGAGCTGGAGAGTCGGACAGGGAAAGCGCGCGGCGGGAGGGGCGGGGCGGCAGTGGCGGAGGAAGCGGAGGAGCGCTCGGTGCCGGTGTGCCCTGACCTCGCCTCGCTCCCATCCGGGTTAGGGTTAAATGCCACCTCCTCCAGGAAGCCTTCGCTGATGCCGCCTCTCCCTGGCGGTCTTCTTGATTGACTACCGTAGCATTTTCCAGCACAACCCGTCGGAACCACTCGCCCCGACGCTTTGGCACCATGTTACTGCTTTTTAAAACTAGACAGAATGGTTTCCTCTTGAACCTTCTGGAGCCGGGAATGCACTGTTTACTCCCACAACACTACCACCTCGCCCACAGGTTTTGCCCTTGCTCTTCAGCAGTTCCTCTCTGTTGCCTGAAAACACCCAACTCTCTTCTTGGTGCGGGGAAGAGGGGGGGAATGTTGCAAGACTTTACCCCTCGGGTTATTTTTCCAGATACCACTTTCCTTTAAATGTCAACATTTTTAACTAAGCAGTCAGCTCCGAACTCTACATTGCCTCCTCCCTCTTCCCTGTCCCTCTTCCTCGGCGCAGAGACTTTGCGACGCGGGCTACCGGGGAGAGAACACAGCCCCAGGCTCCCTCTTCCCCGGGGCCTGGGGTCGCCCAAGGGGCGGCTTCTAACCGCACCCCAGAGCCAGCACTGGCCCGGCACACCTAGGTCTGTGTGTGTTCATCCAACCTCAGGGCCTGTGTAAATTCCTGTTTTCTTTGTGATCCGCATTCTACTTCTTGTCTGTTTTTTTTTTGTTGTTGTTGTTGTTTGTTTTAATCTCCCCCTAGTACTGGGGAATTGAACCCCGGACCTTTGTATTGAGCTACAACCTGAGCCCCGCCCCCCTTTTGGGACTGGGTCTCACTGAGCGTCCCCCGCCCAGCTTCTGGCCACCTGTTGGGAGCAGCTTTCTTCTTGAACACGCCCTGGCTTCTCTGTCTCCTTCTCTTCCTGTCTGTGCCAGCCCTAGTTCCCTCCCTGCCCTATGTCTGATCCCCTAATCTTTCTGTCTGATTTTTTGTTTTCGATGGCACTGGGATTAAACTCAGGGACAATTTACCACTGAGCTATACCCCCAGCCCTTTTTCTTTTTGAGACAAGGTGTTTTTAAATTGCCCAAGCTAGCCCCAGACTTGCTATCCTCCTGCCTCAGCCTCCCATTGTTCCCTGCCCTGCTTCCTGGGCACCAGGAGGTGGGCAGCTTTTCTCTGCTACCTTGCCCAGCAATGGTTTGGACTTGGGCCTCTAAAATTGAGCCAAAATAAACTCTTCCTCTGCTGAGTTGATTTTCTCAAGTATTTTGGTCACAGTAACAAAAAGCTGGCTGGCATCCTGTGTCTTTTTCAGAGCCAGCGCCCTTCCTGACCTCCATTTCTATCAGCGACACCATCATTTTCCCGGTCACAGCAGCCAAGGACCTCAGAGCCACTGTCAGCCTTCCCTCCTACTTTGCTCTTTAGACCGGGTTCTCAGACCAGTCGCTTCTCATCCAGGTGACCACGAAGGCCTCTGTCCAGCCACATCCCCCAGACACCCTCCCACCACGAAGCACCCTCCCCGGGTACCTGTCCCCTTGCCCTTGTGTCCTTGTACTTCTGGCAGGTCCTCGGCAACAGCCCCTGCGTTTGTCAAGCGTTTCAGTCTGGACTCCTTTGCTCAGGAGTAAGATCTCCCAGAGCTTATTGTTGTTTTAAAGATTTTATTGGTGCATTTTAGATACACACAATGTTCACATTCATCACAAGGAATTTGCACCTGAACACGACCTATCTTGCTTCCTCTTTTTCCCACTCCCCTCCCTTCCCTTCAACCCCTCTTCCCCTCCTTATTTATAAAACTTTGTTTCCATTTTTTCCTTCCATATAATTTTTTCTTTTCCTTTCCCACTCTCCCCTCCTGAGTTCCTCTTCCCATTTGAACATTTTCTTCCCATTTCCAAATATGTATTATAAATTTTGGTCCTTATTTACATTTTCAGTTTCTCACACCAGAGAAATGGTGTGGTATTTACAGGTGTGTCTGATTTATTTCACTTGAGTGTGGTCTCAAGGTGCATCCATTTAGCTTGAAATGTCTCAAGCTTATCCTTCTTTATAGTAGAGTAGTATTGCATTGTGTTAAAAAAAAAAAAAACCCACATCTTCTTTATCCATTCATCAGCTGATGGGCATTTGGGCTGTTTCCAAGATTTAGCAGTTACAAACTGTGCTGCTATAAACATGGGTGTGCACATATTGCTGTGGTTTGATGCTTTTAAGGAAGATACCAAGAACTGGAATAACTGGGTTGAGTGAGACCTCTAGTCCAGTTTTTTGAGGAATCTCCAGACTAATTTCTACAATGGTTGCACCAGTCTTCACTCCCACCAACAGTGGAGAAGAGTTTCTTTTCCCCCCATGGCCTGGCCAGCGTTTGTTATTGGTTGATTTCTTGATGATAGCCATTCTTTCTAGGGTGAGAAGGAATCCCAACAGTGTTTTAATTTGCATCTCTTGAATGACCAGTGATGTTGAACATTTTTTCATATACTTATTTTACCATACTTATTTACTTATACTTATTTCTACTTTTTCATTTGAAAAGTATTTATTGTATCAGATGCTAATTTTTGGATGAGGTCTTTAAATTTGATTTTTTGAGTTCTTTATATATTCTAGAGACAAGTCCTTTGTCTGAGGAACATCTGGCAAAATTTTTTTCCCACACTGTGGATTGTCTCTCCACTCTGTTGGTGGTTTCTGTCGATGTGCAAAAGCTGCTTAATCAGATGAGACCCCTGTTGTTGATTCTTTATGATAATTCCTGTGTGATCGGGGTTTTGTTCATAAAGTCTTTGCCTACACCCGTATCTCCAAGAGTTCTACCTAATCTCGAATAATTTAGCTCCATCTATGTTTTTACATTTTTGTCTCTGGGCTTTAGGGTCACTCTCCTCACTCTCTAAATCTTACAGCAGCTCTGTATCCCACATCCTCCAACTGCGATCCCCCAGTCGGCCCTGTGATGGTTCCCATTCCGTGCATGCCTGCGGCCCCGTGGCTCATGTCCTTAGCTGCTGGATGCCTCACTGGCATCTTCTACCATTCTCAGTCCCCCGCATACCTGGAGCCACAGTTTTGGCTTGGTCTTCTGCCTTGAACCCTAGGCCAGCCATTTTCCCAGTGTTGAATGAATGCTCTGCATACAGTTCGTCTGACATTGTTTTAGGTTCTCTGTTGATCTTTTTAGGGATTGGCATCTGTGACTGGTTCCTACTGTCCTATGCTCCACATTTCCACCACAATGCAGATTTCAGATACTCTCTCCCGCTTCTGCTCATTGCGGGGAAATAACATGTATATGTGTATGGGAAACCGGGCTAACCTTGGAAAAAGAGAACTCATAGGTGCATGAAACTAGAGGCCAGATGTCAGCAAGGCTGGAATTGACCTAAGCCAACCACCAAGGAATCCAGTGAACAAGGTCACAGTACTGACAGCTCTGCAGTGTCATTCAACACCCATAAGCTGAGCACTTATCTCCCTGGGTTCACCTTTGACCTCTGGGCCTCATGTCCTGCAACCAGAACTGAGGAAACCCTTTTTAGATAAACCATCACTTGTTTTTTGTGCAGGAAATAGCACTGTTGTCTGTGTGAAGTTTTGTGTTGCTCACCAGGCCACACAGGGAGTTCCCAGTAAGTTTTCAGTCTTGGCCTCCCTGGTCTGAGACTGGGCCGGTCTTGCTGACTACAAACACAGTGCCCTTCTCCATCAGTCTACAGCGCTCCTGCGCTGCTGTTGTCAGGGCCCAGGGTCCCAGGTTGGTGCACAGAGCTCTCAGAGGACAATTCAGTGAATGGGAGGACACTGTCTAACTTTTCTTCCAGGCTTTAGGGTCTCTCCCTCTCCCTCTCCTGCTCCTCCTCCTCTTCCTCCTCTTCCTCCTCCTCATCCTCCTTTTTTTTCTCCCTCCACTCCACCTCAAGGGTCCTGCGAGATTTTAAACATTAAATGCTGATGTACTGCACTGAGCTGTGACTCCATGAGCGGCAAGGGGAGCAGGGAGGGTGAGCTACCTACGCGGCCTACTCAAGGGCGAGGACAACTTTGCAAACAGACCACATTCCCACCCAGAAGCGGGTCCTTCTGAGCCAGCCCCGTCTACAAGGATATCACACAGGCCTTGCTCTGCTCTCCGTCATCTGGGGCAAGCAGATCTTTGTACATGACTTCTGTCTTTCCCAGAGCCTGTGGGACTTGGCTTGGTTGCCAAGGTTACCTCCCAGTTTTCTGACCAGGACTAGGAACTGAGGTTGAGGGAGGCCCATCCTCAGGCAGAGGTTGGGCTGAGCTATTCCAGGAGGCTGACATCAGCTCCTGCCTCCGCAGTGTGGTGTGTGATTTTGTTGGTCTGTGTGTATCAGCGTGGGTGGGAGGGCTGTGTGTGTATCTGAGTAAGCGCATACACTGAAATGTGTACGCATGATGAAGTTGGCGGGCAGGAGGGAGTACGGATCTGTGCCTGCTGATGTTAACGGGCACGTATGCTGGTATCGACTGAAGAGTGTGGCTCTGAGAACGCGGGCATTTCCGTGGCGTGTGTGTGTGTTTTGGCAGAGCGTGTCTGAGCAAGGCTGCTGCAGATGCTCATTTGATCTGTCCTCTTTACAGACCTCGTTGGTGCAACCTTTGCTGTGCTGCACAGAGCTGATGGGAAATGTCTCTCAAGGAAGACTAGAGGCCGCTGCTTTGCTTCCTAATCAAGTGGAAATACACTGAACGCATTTCTACCTCTTTAAG